TGTTAAAATAAAAAGTAATTCGGTATCAGAAGGTGATAATGAAATTTGAGGAATAAATACACGTTTACCAATATTAGATCTTGTAATAATTTTAGCAACAATTACTTTGCTATAAAGAGCTCGACAAATTAAGCGAGTTCCATTGCAAAGTCCTTCTGCTGGATTTAAATTATGTAAAAGCATTATAGATATACTAGTTTTTAACTTTAATTCGCCAGGAGGAAGACCAGAGATTTTTAAAGATCTTAAAAATTTAGGTGAATATAGATGAACATTTCCATCATTTGCTAAATTTGTAGAGTTTGCACTGGGATATATAGATATTGGACCAGGAAACTGATCTATCATTAGATCAGAGATTATATCAACATTGCTATTTTTTGGAGTTAGTATAGCTCTTTCAGTTAAGTAATTGATATTATTAGAGTTTTAAATAAAATCTGGATAAATATTATTAATAAGATCAGATAATATTCCACTAGCTACAACTATATCAGAAGGGAGTGTTATTCTATTTTCTGTATCTGCAACAATTAGGTATGTTCCATCTCCTATTTGTAAAAAGAACTCGGCAAATTCTTTTTGTCTTTGATTTTTATTAATATCATTAGTTTGCTGAAGTCTTATATTAATTGTTAATTTCATAACTTTCATATTACTCTATAATGAAGAGCGAGATAAGCTAGCTGAAACAATATTTGCACGAGATCCATGAGGTACAACAGGTAGTACTTGACGAAAATCACCACCAAAAACAATAACTTTTCCACCAAATGGTTTATCTACTTTCATAATATCACAAAATGTTTGATTAAGAGCTTCAAATGCAAATTTATTAGTCATTGGGGCTTTATCTCAAATAATAAGTTTTGCAATACTGATTAAATGAGCTTCTTTGCTATTCTGTGAAATATTACATGTAGAAGATTCATTAGATTTAAGTGGAATTTTGAAATGACTATGAGCTGTATGTCCACCTTTTATTAAAAGTGCTGCAATTCCTGAAGAGGCTACTGCCAAAGCAATATAATGACATGACCTAACACTTGCTAGTAAAGTGTTATATAAAAAGTTTTTCCTGTACTACCTGGTCCATCAATAAAAAACATTATCCTTCTTTATTGTCAATTGCTCTTATGACAGCATCAAATACTGCACGTTGATCATTATTTAACAAAGGTATATTGTGTTGTGATTTGGCTTCTAAGTCTGTTATATTGTAAGATCTTTCTTCACATATTAAATGATTTAATTCTTCTTCATTATTACTGATATTTGAAGTAATAGAGAGAATTGGCATATCAGGAAAATTTTTTAAAAATTTTCCATTTAGTAAAAGTATATTTTCTAATTGAGTAAGAGCTTCATTTTCAATTGTAGCAGGAATATTATTTGTATCTTCAAGATCTTGTAATTGCATATGAGCTCGATATAAAATATCTTCATATAATGCAATTTTATGATTATTCCATAATAACTCAGGTTTTACAGATTGGCAAAATAAAAGTATAGTTGCAAAAAGCTGTCGTAGTTGGTGTTCTGTCTGTACAGAAGTTGCTTCAAGCAAACAGGCATTATATTCAGTATTATTTTGAAGAAGATCTAAATAAGAGCAAGCTTCT